GTAGCTGTATTAGGTGGTTATCTCTATGCTATTGGTGGCTCTGACGGACAATGCCCATTAAATACTGTTGAACGCTATGACCCAAGGTTTGTGTCTCAATTCGAATAAGCCTTTACTAGGCCTTATTTACTAATTTTTTTCAATATAGGCAAAATAAGTGGTGTGCCGTCAATCCCATGTCCACTCGCCGCAAACATTTGGGGTGCGCTGTCTTTAATAACTACATATATGCCGTCGGAGGGCGTGATGATTGCATGGAATTGTCTTCAGCAGAGCGCTATAACCCGCATACAAATACATGGAGTCCCATTGTGGCGATGACATCGCGTCGCAGCGGCGTAAGTTTAACTAAAGAATAAAAAAGCAACAAAAACGCATTATTTATTTTTATACACTTTCTTAGGTTGGCTTGGCCGTAGTAAATGGACAGCTATATGCCGTTGGCGGTTTTGATGGCTCGGCCTACTTAAAAACAATTGAAGTTTATGATCCCGAAACAAACCAATGGCGTTTGTGTGGCTGTATGAATTACAGACGTTTAGGTGGTGGCGTAGGTGTGATGAGAGCACCACAGACTGAAAACTATATGTGGTAAGTGTTTTTGCTGGAAATTGTATGCTGATTTAAGTTTGTTCCTTTGCTTGTAGGATACGAAAAGATTCTGTTGTTTGATTGAACCCAGAGGTGTGTTACTATTGAAGCCGTGGCTACGCTATAACTATTTTGCGTTGCTACGGTACATTTTAAGGCTCTTAAGCTTAAACTAAATTTATAATAAGCAAAGGATATAAAACACTACACCCATAAAAATAAATAAAATCGAATAACCTACACATATAACATTAATTAAAAATTATATAAAATCAACTGCGCATGAATTCCATTTATAAGATCAAATAAAATGCATCGTTTGTCGGTTCCCTGTGATGATAATGTGGATTGTGTATTTGGGCAAACGTCAGTTATACGTTTAGCCAAATATCACTTTGTAAATTTATTAATAAAGCATTTCCACACAGCTATTTTGAACAGCTCTATGTCCCGTGCGCTGTAAAAGCAGTTGGCAAGCAATTGCTTACAAAGAAATATAAAGGCAATGCTGTAGCCTATGCAGTGTACGGGACACGCAAACCTATTGATTTGTAACTGAATAAAAATGCGTTAAGCTAAGAATATAATAGATGAAAAGAAATTTAAATATATTAAAAAATATAATTAACGAAAGCATGGGTATACAAAATTTTAACTGCCTTCAAATTGAAAATAACGAGTAAAATAATATAATTAAGCTCATGACAACCAGTATCTATTCGAAAGCTTAATCCACACAGCAAAAATATGTGCTTTTTTGTTTTTTTAGTTTTAGTAAACTTTGCAATGTTAAAATTACGAGTAAATGCATTATACTGTCAAACAAGTAGTTCTTATATTATAATAGCTGACAATGAAATATTTATTTTATAGCTTATGAACGCGTGTAATCAATCTATTTTTCACTCGCGTTAAATACTTTTTGTACTATTGCTCCTTCAATAAAAATCAAGTCAACTTAAAATGAACCTGAAACATGCACCTTCCACTCATAGGTATAAGCTACTAAAAAATGTTAAGAATTAACAAATTAATAAAAAGCAAACAAAATAAAAAAGATATGAATTATGAGCGATGATAACCAAAAATATATGTATATCGAGGAATTAAAAAAATAAAATAAAATCATTACCAATTAGTTATTAGCGTGGGCCGAAAATCCGCTTTTTTAGAATTTTGAATGGTAATAGCAAAAATGTTGTTCATTATGGTCTAAAAACAATCTGTGTGAGAGATGACAATTTTTGGTCAATATCTCGTCGAAGTCCATCAAAGTTCCATGTGCTCAAAAATTAAAATTAATAAATGCATTAATTAATACATTTCTTTAATAAAATTGCAAGTATCTTCGAAAGTATTAGTCCTACATAATTTGGTATATGGACCTGTTTTGTAGGGAATCGAAGTAAGCTGAGAATTTTTTTTTTTTTGTTTGCACTTGAACTTTAATGGACTTGGGCGAGCCTAAGATATTGATTAAAAGTTGTAATTTCTCACACAAATTGTTTTTAGAGCATAATGAACAAAATTTTTGCTATTACCGATCAAAATTCTTAAAATCGGATTTTCGGCCCACGTTATTAGTTATGTTAAGCAAATTTGTGACATTCAGCTCGATTTCTACATACATGTTTAGTTAAATGCCCTTGAATAAAGCACATACATAATGTACATATTAATATCTGGCATACATATGTGTGTATAATTCATATTCACTTTTGGAAAGTCCTTTTGTAGCCCTAAGTTTATTATAGTAATTCTTTATTTCCACAATGAATTGATTGACTAATTATCTTTCTAATGTAAATAAATATATGTACATATGTATGTGTTGTGTATGTTTGTAGACTCCGAAAACGTACATATGCGTGCAGGTATTTGTAAAATTATGCGCATTGTTCTTTGCTGAAAAAAATAAAATGTTGATAAATAAATTAAGAGATTATTATATGCAAAACAAATAAAATAAAATTTGCGGAAAACCGGTCATTGACAACACCTCTAGAATGAGTTGCAATTAAGTACTACTGTGAAATGATTAATACTAATAAAGTATAAACAATGGAAATCATTATTAAACATGATCAACTTATTACCGTAAAACTATTCAGCTCGTATTTGATTTTTGCACAGCAACTGACTTTTTTGAGCTGCGCTGAATAAAAAGTACCGTCGCGATCGCGACAATGGCGCTGGCATAGCGGACATCACTCATCACTCGAACTATTTAACGTTTATATACCCACTGTCACCGCTGTGGTGTAATGGTTAGCAGTGCAAGCTACCATTCTGCAGGGCCTGGGTTCAAGCCCAGTTTCCCAACAACATAAAAAAATTGAAAACAAAAAAGGTTTTTTCAAATAGGGGCGCCTCTCGGCAAACAATGGCAAAACCTCTTCTTCTTGTTGTTGTTGTAGCGGCTACAACAACCCCGCCCAGATCGGTTGGTATCTCAGTCGTTGTCGTCAAGTTCCACTAACGGCAACCCTAGGAAGCGTGTAGCTTCTGCGGGGTTTGCCCATAAGGACAAGGTCGTTAGGGATGTCGGGTTTGCCGGGCATGCGAAGAGATGTTTCGAGTCATGTGGGGTCTCTCCGCATGCCGGACATTCGTTCGGCACATCCTCATTCAGCCTACTCAAGTAGGAGTTTAACCTGCTGCAGTAGCCGGAGCGAAGTTGTGCAAGTGTAGTGCGCGTCTCCCGAGGCAGATGAAGCTCCGTCTCGTCAATGTCCGGGGGTGGTGTGCCTAGAACGGCATTCACAGGTCTAGAGTCTACATAACTCGAGACTGAGTCCCTGTGAATGCCGTTCAAGGCCTGTCTGTAGGCTGTCGGGTCCAGAGGTTGCTTAATGAACCTCTGGACTTCGTCCGTTAGTTCATATAGATGCCTCCTGACGTGCCTAGGCGAGGGCTCCTCTGCAAGCTGCTGTCTGCTCGGGTGGCCACTTCTGTGGCTCCCGATCAGGAACTGCTTGCAGAGCATTATATTGTGCTCCTTTACCGGGAGCATTTGCGCCTCGCCGTGCAGGTGGTGTTCAGGCGTCATCAAGAGGCATCCCGTCGCTGTCCTCAGTGCGGTGTTTTGTACGGTCTGTAGCTTCGTCCACTGCGTCCTACTAGTCCCAGGCGACCACACTGGCGCTGCGTAGTTCAAAACCGGCCGGCCTATTGCCTTGTATGTTGCCAGCAACGTTTCTTTGTCTTTGCCCCAAGTACTGCCGGCTAGCGACTTGAGGACCTTGTTGCGGCTCTGTACTTTATTGACAATAGCGGTTGAGTGCGCAGAGAAGGAGAGCAGGCTGTCGAAAGTTACTCCGAGTATTTTGGGGTTATTCACCGTCGGAATTGGTGTGTCATCGACGTGAATCCCCAGCGGTAGCCGGACCTCCTTCGTCCAGGTTGTGAACAGGGTCGGGGAGAGGGCTAGACACTTTGCAGTGAAGAAGCGAGAAAGTTCGGAGAGATAGCCGTTTACTTTCGAACACAGGTCATCAATTCCATTCCCAGTCGCCATAATCGAGCAATCGTCGGCATAGGAGACAATCGAGACTCCCTCTGGTGGTTGAGGGAGCTTTGAAATATAAAAGTTAAACAGTAGCGGGGAAAGGACACCACCCTGAGGAACCCCCTGCTTTATTTTTCGCTGCTTACTCGTTTTGTCTCTGAACATTACCGACGAATGTCGACCACTTAGATAATTTGCCGACCACCGTTTGAGCCTCTGTGGGAGAGAGGAGGCCTCTATATCTTCTAGTAGCGTGGAATGGCAGACGGTGTCAAACGCCTTTGACAAGTCCAACGCTACTAGAATCGTTCTCTAACAGGGACGGTTACGGTTAAGGCCACGAGTTATCTGAGTGTTTATGGCGTTAAGTGCTGTTGTTGTGCTGTGCACTTTACGGAAACCATGCTGATGCTTCGCTGGGGTCAGGTGATTTGTGAAGTACGGGAGTAGCAAGGCCTCGAGTGTCTTCGCTACCGGGGAAAGGAGTGTAATCGGACGATACGAATCTCCTTTGTTTGCAGGTTTCCCCGGTTTGAGCAGTGGGACCACTCTCCCCACCTTCCAGATGTCTGGGATGATGAGAGTGGCCATTGACAAATTGAGGACCTCCGTTAGGTACGCTACCCCCGCAGGACCCAAATTTTTCAGCATCAGCATGCATATTCCGTCGGGACCCATGGCTTTGGAGGCTTTCGCCTTCCCGATGGCCACTTGAACTTCACCGCAAGTGAAAGCAAGGGGGGCACAAGTTGTTGGCAGTTTGTGCAGCCTTCTGGTCACTCGACGCTTGGCTTTGTCCACCGGAGGATGCAGTATGAACTTCCGGCTAAAATAGCTCGCGCATCGCTCCGGGTCCGACGAAGCATGGTCGCCGAAGGAAATTTCGACTCTGTCGTCGTGCTTCGTCGGATTAGACAATGACCTCACGGTTGACCAAAGCTTGCTCACACCAGAGGTGAAGTTGCAAGTCTTCAGATGCTCCTCCCACTTCTTCCGCTTATGTACGTTTACAAGTTGCCGAATCTCCGCGTTGAGATCCCTGATACGGGGATCTCCGGGATCGGCCTGACGAAGGCTATCACGATAGCCGGTTCTACGTACCGGAATGACTCGGGTTTCACCCGACCAAGGGCTGTTGTTTCGGCGATCTAACCTCGTTTAGGTCGGCGAAGTATCTCAGAAGTTGTCCGTCCATAGGGCAACCTTCACTACGCATTCTTCTTCTTCTTCTTTTTTGGCGCTGTAACCGCCTAAGCGATTTTGGCAGAGTTCAGCAAAGCACGCCAGTCGTTTCTCCTCTGTGCCAACTGACGCCAATTGGAAACTCCAAGTGAAGCCAAGTCCCTCTCCACCTGATCTTTCCATCGCAGTGGGGGCCTCCCTCTTCCTCTGCTACCACCAGCGGGTTCCGAGTTGAATACTTTCGGAGCTGGAGCGTCGGTGTCCATTCGAACGACATGACCAAGCCAGCGGAGCCGCTGTATTTTAATTCGCTGCAATATGTCCATATCGTTGTAAACCTCATACAGCTTATCGTTCCATCGTCTGCGGTACTCGTCGTCGCCAACGCGTAAAGGCCCGTAAATCTTCCGCAAAATCTTTCTCTCAAACACTCCAAGAGCCGCCTCATCGGATGTTGTCATTGTCCATGCTTCTGCGCCATATACCAGCACGGGCATGATGAGTGATGGCAAAACCTCAGTCATGAAAAAAAGCTTCTCATAAAAATACAATCGCCGTTCGGAGTCGGCGCAAAAACCCCGCCCAGATCGGTTAATATCTCAGTCGTTGTTGCCAAGCTCCACTAACGGAAGCCCTAAGAAGCGTGCAGCCTCAATATGGTTGGTCTACAGGGACAAAGGCGTTAGGGTTGTCGGGTTTTCCAGGCATACGAAGAGATGTTTTCGAGTCATGGGGTGTTTCTCCGCATGCCGGACACTCATTTGGCACATCTGCGTCTAGTCTGCTCAGGTATGAGTTTAACCTGCTGCATTAGCCAGAGCGAAGTTAGGCTATTGTGGTTCTAGTCTCCCGTGGCAGATGAAGCTCCATCTCGTCAATGTCCGGTGGTTGTGCGCCTAGAACGGCATTCACAGGTCTGGAGTCTACATAACTCGAGACTGACTCCCTGTGAATGCCGTTCAGGCCTGTCGATAAGCTGACGGGTCCAGAGGTCGTTTAATGAACCTCTGGACTTCGTCCGTCAGTTCGTAGATATGCCTCCCGACATGCCTGGGCGAGGGCTCTTCTGCAAGCAGTTGCGTATTTGGGTGGCCACGTCTATGGCTCACAACAAGAAACTGCTTGAAGAGCATTTTGTTGTGCTCCCTTATCGGGACATTTTCGCCTCGTCGTGCATGCGGTATTCTAGCGACATAAGAAGGCATCCAGCCGCTGTCCGTAGTTACTCCGAGTATTTTGGGGTTATTCACCGTCGGAATTGGTGTATCATCGACGTGAATTCCCAGCGGTAGCCTGACCTCCTTCGTCCAGAGAGGGCTGGGCTCCTTGTAGTGAAGAAGCGAGAAAGCTCGGAGAGATACCCGCTTACTTTCGAACACAAGTCTTCAATTCCATTCCCAGTCGCCATGATCGAGCAATCGTCAGCGTAAGAGACAATCGAGACTCACTCTGGTGGTTGAGGGAGCTTTGAAATATAAAAGTAATCAGTAGCGGGGAAAGTACACCCTCCTGTGGAACCCCCTGTTTTATTTTCCTGAGTTTGCTCGATTTGTCTCTAAACCTTACCGACGAGTGTCGACCACTCAGATAATGCGCCGACCACCGTATTAGCCTCTGTGGGATCTTCTAATAGCGTGGAGTGGCTGACGGTGTCAAACGCTTTTGACAGCACAGTATATACAGTAATAAACCTTTTTGAGTACTCCTCAGGGGTAAAATCTGATCAGGGTTGGTAATGAGAAGGAGCATGAAATTTGTTGATTCAGAGTTGTATACAAAATTGCTGTGGTATGAAAGGGAGCAACAACCGTGCTATGCAGAGTGCCACAAGACATGACTGTATAATAGTGACCGAAGTTAATTGCGAAAGTGATAAAAATAGCAAATTTTTCTCTATTAATATAGATACTAATATAGATCATCAGAGTTCAGTGTTTAACTGGTTATAGTTGCGTTCGCGTAGCTGTTAATTGTTCATGTTTAACCAAAACTTAAAAGTTTTTGCGTTCGCGTACGCAAAGTAGGGGAAATTGAGAGAGCAAACTGACATTTCATTTTGAGGGGAAGCTGCTGGTTTCTGCTGGAAAAATTTTTGCCAACAGGAAAACAGCTGATCAAAAACAGCTGGTTGGCATTTACGCAAATCACAAAATTGAATTTGATGGTTTGGAAGTTAGAAATTAACAAATGCGACTAATTAAACTTGTAAGAAATAAATAGTTATTTGTTTAATCAATAAACTGTGTCAGTATAACACTTTGTGATGACTTTTCGTACGTTTTAAATTTTACACTTTTGAATGTAAACAAAAATTATATCAGCTGTTCGTCTAACTTGCAAGTTTCTGCAAATTTTCTGTTCGCGTACTATTTTGGATATTTCTCTCTTGTGAGAGAACAGATGACATTTCGCCAGA